CACGGGAGCTCTCCATGCACTTGGTATCTTTTATCTCTGGTCCGCACGCAACCCCATCGCAGAATGCTGACTCCCACCACATCCCGTCCTGCCGCGCCTGCCTTTGATTCCTGGTCCATGCCATTATTAATCGCAACTACGTTCAATATCCTAGCCCCGCATAACCATCAGCAAGGTGTTATTTAATTCATGCTTGTAGGACATACCAACAATCAACTCCACAACTCCACAACACCAAACCACCAAACAACAATAAAATCCCATCAAACCCCCCCACCCCCATCTCTGACCTGTAAGCATGCCACCAGTGTGCCCACTCTGGTCATTAATAAAATTGCCATGCCGAGGCAACGGCTGACTCTGCCTGCAGCCCTGTCTCTGGATTCGCCCTGATTCTATAACCAATGCAACGCTGTCTGATCATCTTAGTGCTAACCTTCTATTGCCCATCTTGTCCCTGAGGGTATCTTTCACGTGCCAGGCACTGTGTTAGGCATGGAGGACATGAATACATTAAAATATGGTCTTTACCCTCAACAGGGTCCCAATATAACAGACAAATGGTGAAACAGAGGGATAATCACTAGGAAACAGGTATACACAGAAGGGCCAGATTTAGTTCTGCCGTCTCTGATTGAATTTCTCTAAATACTCTAAAATGGAATGAAACCAGAGAATCACTTTTTTTTTTTTTTTCTCGGACAGAGTCTTGCTCTGTCACCCAGGCTGGAGTACAGTAGTGCAGTCTCAGCTCACTGCAACCTCCATCTCCTGGGTTCAAGAGATTCTCCCACCACAGCCTCTCGAGTAGCTAGGACTACAGGCGAGCACCACCACACATGGCTAATTTTTTTGTATTTTTAGTAGAGACGGGGTTTCACCATATTGGCCAGGCTGGTCTCGAACTTATGACCTCAAGTGTTCGGCCTGCCGCAGCCTCCCAAAGTGCTTGGATTACAGGCGTGAGCCACTGTGCCCAGCCAAGAAACACATTTTGAACATATTTATAAGGGGTCATTACTTATGAAAAACCTCATCTTTCTTGCCTTCATGGTCTCTGATGGCTCCTGACTTAAACCTCCCATTTTTTCAAGCAGTATTTGTTGTTTTTGCTAATTTGGTGATATTTTATTTGCAAGCAAAATTACTTTTCAGACGTCATTCACATTCTAGTCTCTGCTTCTCAGGAGTCTTTAAACTGCATTGGGGGTCTTTAATCTTATTATTTGACCATGAGTATAGCAACCATAACATTATAGTCAACTTTAAAAAGTGTTTCCAGAATCAATTCGGATGTCCATGGACACCCATTCCTGAGTGTCTCCCAGCTGGCAGGGAGGGCTGCAATCTCAGTAGCACACCAACCTCTGCTGTGCACATCTCCTCAGACCCGAGAACTCTGTTTTCTTTTCAATGTTGTTAACAAAGTCTCTTTGATTTTTGTTGGTCACAAAGGTTATATTTGCCTTCCCAGGGACCTCATTTTTGTCTAGTGGTGCCACAGTAAATAAGAATAGGCATCAAAAAGGGGAAATGGTTCAACCCAGAAGTGTGCATTTGACCTAAATAAAAATGTTCTAGGGTCCTATTTTACACCTCTTTTACCATTTTTGATTGCTTGGTATTTCAAATTAGCAACCAAAACTTCCCCTCCTGTTACTTCCGATAACCAAGAAATTGATTATATACAGTTGCTTAATGTGGTCAGCCTCTTCATAAACAGGTAGGTTGCTGAAAGGTTATCTCGTCAGCATCTGATAATCTCTGGATCCTGAGCTGTTGAAGAAGGCTCAGAAATGCATTAAAGTAGGTGCTGGGAATAAGGCCAGATCTTGTTCTGCCATTAAATTTCCAAACTTATCACCCTCTAAAGTCCCTATTGTTTTTGTCACCCAAGACCACATAATTTGAAAGCCTATCAATCTCTATTTACAAGGGGAAGTTGTGCTTCCTCGTTCTTAATTAATTAGAGACATACTGTCATTCAGAGGTTTTGAGCTACATTGACAGAGGTAATGTTATCTAACCTAAACATAGTTCCATAAGAAACATAAAACATAGGTAGACAGTAGAGCCTTATTAATGAATCCTACTCAAAATGTTAATAGATCTGTGTTGGTACCTTTAGGGAATCCTGGTTGTGAACCACTACATGAAATGTTCAGGTTCACAATCTTGCAAAACCTTTTTGAGTTGCAGGAATATCTGTTGCCTCACAAGTGAAACAAGTCCATTTTCTTGAGCACTGAGGTGTTCCCCAGCCTGGCTTTTCTGCCTAGAAAATGCCATTTTCGTAAAGAGCTGTCATGCTTCGTGTCCTTTGGCTTATGATTTAGCTGTTCAGAGAAAGTGCAGGCTGCTCTCACTCGCTCAGTGCTGGTGATATGTGGTTTTGTTTTATTAAATCTTTAAAATACTGGGCTTGTTTTTTATGACCTCCATATATTCTTTTGTTCTTCCCTGTGACTTGTTAGATCACAGTTTTTTTCTTCCTTTGTGAAAATATTAGTGCCTTTCTAAAGAGCATCATGGTCTCCAGAATGGCTGTATAATAAAATGGAAGAATGTGTTGAGCCTAATGTTAGATCTGTCAAGGCCGTGACTCAGGGGTGCTTCAGTGATGGGAAGGTTTGAGGCTTCTCAGACGTGGTCCACGGAATCACAAATCTTTCTGTTCTTGCCAGACTTGTTTTGACAAATCTGAGATCATTTGACACTAATCATAGAGCTCTTTGTAAAATAAAGGTACCAATGGTTTATGTTCCAATTACAGACAAGTGTTTGTGATTAAAAGTTACTAAGAAACCCTCGGTTAAATGGAAGCAAGTTCTTCTGCAGGTGTGAGCTTCGTCTTGTATGCATTTGAGCCTGGGGACCCACACACCTGTGCACAGGTAGCCTAATTCTGACCTCAAAGGAATCTTTTCTTTGGGGAAGCAGAGGAAGGAGAGAACATCTGCAGCTGATAAATCTCAGTGGGCCTGGTGCTCCAAGGCTTCTAATTATACCCAGTTCCTACTTCTTCTAGAACAAGATCAAGTGATGAGTTGCCATCTCATGGTTCTGTACCTGCACAGAGGGGACTCCCAAAGTTTTAAATAATCTTGAATACAACTTGGCTACCCCACTAATGTGAATCCCCAAATAAACCAGGCCGTGACATCCAATTGAACTTGTTCCTGTGCATACAGTATCTCGCAGCCCATCCTGTATTGTTAGTTTTGGCAAGTGCACGACAGCGTATAATAAATCATGGAAGGAAAAAGCTTTTTGGCCTAGCATGGTTCAGCCTGCTGTAATGTTAGAATACAGAAAGCAGTTCTGTTTTTAGACATCCTTTTACTAACCCAACATTCATAATTTATTATTACACTGTAAAATTCCTGCAACACTACACCAAAAGTAGTGCTGCCCTTTAATTAAGTGCCCTCGGTAGGAAAAACGTGAAACTGATGTGCAAAACATCTCTGTGTGTAATGATTGATAGTGATTACATCTTTATGAACCCAGCCTAAAGGTCTCAACTTCCTGATGGGTGAAGTAGTCTATAGGGCCACTTCCTGAGTCTGCCTGGCGGGGATCCGTCACTGCTAACAAAACTGCAGATAATTCAGAGGCACAGCTTAGAAATGCTGAGGTTTTATGAAGCCCGTGGCTGTCTATACTTTGTCACAAGCCTACATGACCTTATTCCTCATTTCCATAAGCACCAATGACCAAACTTGATGCCAGGGCCACACTTAGAGAAGTTGTAACGCAGACGGTAAAGGGACCCAGTGTGTCATATGGATGACAGGAAGTACTTCCAGCCCAATGGGTGCATGAGTAGAACATTCTAGCCAGAAGAGGACCATACATTGTTGCATTTTTTAAAATTCTGTTTTCAAACAGTCTTTTATTTTTCTTAGTTGCAATTAGGCAACTTTAATTTTTTTTTAAAATAGTACCATTAAATGTTAGACTTAAATCCCAAGACAGGCATTCCCCAGCTCATCCCTGTTTGCACTGTGAATTTGTGCATCAGCTAGGTGGTCACATCAGCCCAAGCTCATAACACCTTAGTGAAAGGTAAGATTCAGAGTTTCTATATCCGAAATACTTCAGGTTTCTGAAAAGAAAGGTAACACATCCATCCAAGCAGGCAGTATGTGTGTTATGTGAACTCTTTGGTATAAGTTTGGCTATTTTCAGTCATAATGCTAGCAACCAAAACGAAAATTTTGTGCAGTCCTGTCATTTAGTCATCTTATCAGTGCCCCAAGGTGACTTTTTTCAAGAGCTCTGTTGATACCATGTATGTGTATGTGTCATTTTCTGGTGTTTTTACAGATTTGGGCCAGGCTTAGTCATCTATTGGTATGGATTTATCCAGGAGCTGGACTGCAACCGGGAAAGGGGCATCCTGCTCAAAGCCTGTTTCCCTACCAACATTGTCACCTTATGCCACAGCCTAGCTTGACCCTGAAGATCCTGGAGGAGAAGCTGGGAGGAAAAGGTGAATCCGGAAGCAATTTTACTTTCCTGCACTGTAAGATCCTGGCAACATCTGCCCTGAACTTCAGCTGAACTCTTGCTGCCCGTAGTCACACCACTACCTCTTTAGACAAACATATCAGGAGTTTCTGTTTTCCTTCATCCCTTGCTGATGTGAACAGCCAAGAACTACAGACACAACCCACTCATTATCAGCATTTCTGTCTCTGTCAGACAATTAGTTTATAGATAGTCATAATCTTTCTTTCTTCCGGATGGTTTCTCCTTGTATGCTGAACAAAAGAAAAAATGTGAAGACTGAAAGGTGTGATTTTTCAATTGTCCTCCCAGTTACCGAATCACCCTCTTATTTTTTTTTTCCCTAAGCCTCCATTCACTCTCTCTCCCTCTCCCTTTCTCTTCACGTGCACTCACAGAGACCCAGTGTTGCATTACCATCGTGGAATAATCTAGCACAAACCTAGGAAAGCTGAAGCCACAAAGTCCGAAGCCACCTTTGCACTCACCTGCAGAGCTCCAGAAGACCTTGAGGGCAGCCCGCCTATGCCGTGTGTTTGCTGTATTCAATCTTTACGGCTTCCTGACTTCTGTGACAGTAAGCCAAGCTGCAAAAATACGCTTGATGAGAATTTCCTCTTTTAATAATGTTATTTGAACACCAAATATTTTCGATTTATCTTATTTGAAAGTATTAGTTCCATTGTGCCTGGAAACCACACTCCTTTAGATTGGGGGCTGAGAGGAGACGACCCAACATTGAGGAGAGTTTATTTTTAAACATGGCTAGTTGTCAGTATGTACGTGAGCTAGTATTTTTATGAGTAGAGTTTTTTAAAGGCACATTCTGTATACTGCTTAGTATATGCATTTTATACCATGTAATTATATAACACTCAAATAAGTTCAGCATTAGAAATGTTTAGCTTTGTATGAACTAAGTGTGCCAGAAATAAACCTGGAGCAATTTTTAAATAAGCAAAATAAAGGAGATTTTTCTATTTGTTCACTTTATTCACTTTCATGTACTTTTATGTACTGCAAATCAGATTTCAGTCTAAAGCGAAACATCAATAAGTTAATAATAAACCTATCTTTTGGAAAGTTGAATATTAATCTGTACCCAAAACGTATTTAGTAAAATATTTGCTACAACATTATAAAACATAACTTATAATGTTGAATAGATGATTTGGGAAATACTAACAACAACAATGTAACTGTTGCAGACAGCTGTAACTTATATACATTGCTTGAGTTTTTTCAAAAGACTAAATATGTCATTTATACTTTGTTCATTTTCTACCAAAGAAGGTTTGGAAAAATATGCCTGCTGCCTTTCCTTTTGAAGGACACAAACCTGGTCCAAACATGTGTGGATTTTAACTCTGAGTGGGGTGCATTAAATCAAAGGAGAGAGGAAGAAGATGAAATGCTAAAGAAGTATCAGGCAAACTTCTGTTTCAGTATAAAATTCATCCTGCAGGCTTCTGAGTGAAACAGAATGATTTGAAACCACTACTGTATTGCCTGGATACACACACACACACACCCACACACACACCCCCACACACACCCACACACTTTATACAAAAATGTTAAAAGCAGGTTTCCTGGCATGTTCTTAACTGTTTTTTCTTTAGGAATAAATTACATTTATCTGCACAGATGTTGAAAATCCTGTTAAACCCTTGTCAAGGATTTGTTTATTTTACATTAAACAAATTTATGATGAACGTGAACAAATAAATTAAAAAATAAAAAAGGTACTTGCATTTTATATTTATTCTTTTACCTGTTGCCCTGACATAATGTGTTGTGAGAAGGTACTGGTGTTCCTAGCAAAGGCGCTACCTCCTCTTTATGAATGAGGCTTAAAATCTGGTCCTTAAACGTGAGAAAGAACCCAACAGTAAACTGTACACACTACAATAAGGTTACAAATTAGTTAAAAGTAAGTTTTTCACACATAAAAACTAATGTAATTATTATCCTCCTTTTGAATTGGAGGGGTATGGGACAGAAGGTAGTAATGTTCCCCAATTGGAAGCTTAAAGTCTCCTTGGTTTGTTTCTTTTTCTGTTAAAAAAAATCAGCTGAACGACACCACTCAGGCTGAAACCCATCTCTATGCGTTGTCTGCTTGTTTGGTTTTTTTAGTTTAGACAATATAAACATCAGCCCCAGAAAGTAGACACGGAATGACAACTTATTTTTATTGCTGTCGTCATTAGAACGTTAACATTAAAGCCAAATCTTGTTTTATGGTGCATTCCGCACACCATGCTAATGAATTATGCAAAGCCAGAAAGCAGGAGCGTGTGTAAAACGTAAAACTGAATGACGTTCTCCCTGGCATATACAGACTTGCCAAGCATCTGCCCTCACAAACACACAGGAGACCATTTGAAGTCTGGAAACAGAGCAACTCAAAGCAAAGCTGATCTAGTACTCATATGTAAGGCAACTGCATATACTCCTTCCCACCTCGCATATGTACCCCCTCAAAAAAAAAAAAAAAACCATACACATTTGCATATCCATTTTTTTCTTTTGCCTTCTAGTGAAGCATACATCAGCTCTTTACAACACTCCTAAAATCTAAAAGAAAAGGAAAGTCTCAGAGGTCTAAAGTAGAAAGCTGGACCTCCAGGGGAAATAATTTTTTTGTAACTGTAGGTGTGTGTACCTGTTCATTATCTGCAAGGCTTGATTCCCCCTGGAAAAGATGATAAATTGCTGGTCTTGAGGGGGTGCATTAACTCACTCAGGCCACCAGGGGACTGCTTAGAGCCCTGATGAGGTAATCTACCTAAATGGTCCCTGGTGGGCCACATTAATTAATGCTGAAGTGAACAGTTAATTCACTTGCTTCTCACTGGGGAGCTACACCCATTGCTTTCTTTTCTCTTTGGAACCAAGATGCCTTAGATGCCTCCTCTTTTTAACTCTTCCCATCTAGAGTCCTGCTGTCTCAATTGCATTAAATCCTTACTGCTTCCATATGCTTTCTCACTTCACTTTTCACTTTTTCCATGTCATCTTCCCCTGCGCTGGCCTTTGCTAGTTTCCCTCCACATGGACATGTACCCTGCATTTTCTCATTACTCTTGGGCTCTTTTTCTCTCTAAAAGATCATGATCCCAAGACGAAAATATGTCCTGATGCATACGTCTGGTTGGGGCGTTGGGAGCAATTGGCCTAACCTCTTTGGGGAGAAACAACTTAAGCACCCTCCACATGCCTAAATACTCAAGTGCATATGTGGCACCAGAAGGATCATAAAATTTTAACTAAGATAATAAGATTTTACAGGGTTAAACATGGCTTGAGGTTCATGCCTTCAGTAAATGATTTGGAGCAAAAAAGAAGAAAAAAAAAAGTAAGGTTTTATAGCTACTTTCAGCCTGAGTGGTGGTGTTCAGCTGATTAAAATAGCAAAATGTCTGTATAATTTAACGAATCACTCCTAGCTCATTCATCTTGGGGGTAGCTTGCCATTTTCATGTGATCTGACGGGAGCAAGTTGTCTCAAAGTATAACTATTTTGTGACAAGATGAGAGGAGAAAATCTCAATAGGCACATTCTTGATTAGGGTTAAGGAACAAAGCAAACTTAACTTGAGAGGAAACTAAAAGGCAAACAATAGAAGTTTGCCTGCAACGCCACCATTTATGGGAAGCGTCTATCTGAACCTGTCTGTGTAAAGTCACTCGTGGGTTATGGAAGGGTCATGTGTTTGGACCATTTAATCTTGCTACTCTAAACTAACCTTCCTACATTTAGTAAACATCATCCGAACCTGTTTTATTAAGAACATGCCTGGATTCCAAAGATTCAACAAGGAAGATGGAATTATGAATTAAATAATAACCTGAACAACTTGGGTTCGCCTTCTGTTTTTCACTTTCCTGCTATTGTTTTGAATATGGCTGTGAGACAAAGAGCTGCTTAGGTCAAGCGCTATAAATTACAGTTTTCATACAATAGTAATCCACTAAAATGATTTCAAAGCCTGATCAAAGTACTTCAAAAAGACTTTTAAAACATTTCCACAGTACAGGGGAAGGGAAATGCTCATTTGGTGCCTTAATTTGTTTCAGTTAGTATAGCAAAGTTCGATCTGGGTGTCATACTCACTTTATATAAAATCCAACTCATTGTTTAAATAAATCCAACTTGTTCTTGTTGTTTAATGTATAGGTAAAGGAGATTTAAGTTTTCATCTACTTAACAATTTGGAGTCACTTGTAAGGAAAAGATAATATGGGAACATTTTAAAACAAGCATACCTTGATAGTATTTAATTACTCAAGGTATTCGTTAAAACTGTCTAACTCCCTGCAATTAGGATACAGTGGTGAGGATCTCTGTGGATTTATTTGGCATCTTAATAATAATCATGGCAACAGATATATTTATTTTTTCATCCCTTTTCCCTCATCACTTGGATTTATCCTAAGCTGTCTCATTTTATAGGCAAGGATAATGGGAAGTACACTAGTGATAGCAAAGCTAAGCAAATTCTAGGCTCAACTATATATAAAGATAGTGTGGACTGCTGCAACAACGTCAGGCTCAACTAAAGACTCATGGTACTATGTCAGGGCAATTTTTACTTTTTAAAAGGAAGGTCATATTGAAATGCTGACGTGAAATATAACCAAGTCAATTAAGTAATAACAATTGAAGTTCAGAGTTTAATTGAGGGCTGAACATGAATCCAATGACCATTAACCTGAAGTGGTCATTAATTCCCCTGGAAACTGCCTTGGTTAAAGGTATTTCTACAATAACTAGCACTTTTTTTTCAAAAAAAAAAAAACCTTGTCATTTTAACATTAAACAGAAATTCAGAAATAACATTCAGGAATAATAATTCAGTGTATCTATAGTAGACCTTCTGTATTTTACATTTTTAATTGAATTTCTTTTATAGGACAAATCAAAATTTAGATAAAAAGGTAAAACCACTTCTCTGGAGGAAACCATAGTTTTGTTAAGTAAACAAAGTTATAAGCACCCTTTATTTGATTGCTTTTGTTTTATCTCAGTTGTTGACTTATTTCTGTACTTGTTTCATGCAAGATTTCCAACTAGACTGTAAGCTCCATGAAAGTAAAAACTACACTTACTTTGTTCACTGTAGTCCCTAATGCCTAACAGAGTTCTGGTGCAGACAGAGCAGGTATTCAATAAATGTTAAATGAGTAAATGAATGACAGAGTTTTATTAAATATGTTATCACTCACTTGCATTAGCAAATAATTGGAACCTTTAACTTTCTCATTTTCTTCATCTGAAAAATGAGTGTATTTACCAAAATCAGAGAAAATCATCATGTGTCGATGTTAAAGAATTAATTAATTTAGAAACTCCCCAAAATGTGAAATGAATCAAATTCATCAACAAGAGTGTTTTAGGATGCACACTTAGTTTTAAGGGGGGAATATATGTAACTTTTTGTTGCATTTGCCTTAAAGTTAATCTTAATACATTATTGTTTATGCACTATGTTGCTAAATGAGAATATTAAAAATCTTTATTTCTCTTTAAAAAGAAATAGCTTATCTTTATATTTCCCTTAAAAATTTTTTTTTTTCTTCAAATCACTGCAGGGTCCCAGATCAACTGTGTTTCACACACAGATTTTGGAATATTCAATGGAGTTATTAGATTAACTGCAAATGATACTTTTAATTGCTCCCTTTTATAATGCTAAGTTGATGGCAAAGTGCTTCCTGGCCATAGAAGTGGTTGGCTGGCTCAAGAGAGAAGGGTTATTTGGTCATTTGCCAATAGGATCTGACCTTTGGAGAGATACTGCCCATGAACCGCTCAGTGGGTGTTTCCTTGTTAGTCATTAATTCAGAGTATATTATTATTTGAAAGCCAAAGGCATTTGGCATATTTCCTCATAATTTGGAAACCGGTAGCACAAAAGAACTGGAACTTCCACATTTCTTCTTATTCTGCCAGTTTCCCAGGACTTAATTTGTTGGGGTTCTTTACTGTGTGATTCCTTCCATGAGCTGCTGGAGAGAACAGACCCAGAGTGCAGATACCACTAAGACCAGGTCTTTGGTTCCAGGTGATAATTCTGTCTTATATTTCCAGCATTAAAACTATTTAAGACACAGATATTTATTGAGTCCCTAATGTGTATTAGAAGTATGTGAGGTGCTGTGGGGAATTTTTTTAATGCAACAAAAGACTCTTTTATTGAAGAAAAATAAATCATTACTTCCTCAAAATGAAAACAACACAAAATATTTGGAAATTTTAGAAAAGCAAATCACATTAAGGAAAGAGGGAAATCTATGAGGTTTTTAATAAGATATTTTAACCCTAGACTATGGACGGCAAGTAGCTTTCTATTTGCTTATGGTGGCTGTGTTCACTGCTATTAAGCATTTCCAAGGCCAAGTTCAGCTCAGCAGCTAAGGCTTTGATCTAGTTTTTAGAGTAGGCAGTGATCACATGGATGCCACATATTTTCCATTCCTGCTCTGGGCCATTCATGTTCAGTGCAAGTATAAATAAATTCTAAGCATTTGAAACAGAATTCATACCTGTTCATCGGCCTGAGTAATAAAACAAGCAATAACTTGTTCTGATAGTTCTATAACTTCAAGCAAAGTGTCTGTCCATGGCTAAGGTCTGTCTAGTAATACAGATAAGCTAAATATGTCATCAAAATCATAGAAAAATGATTTTAAGCCTCAAGATAAACACTAGATGGGCACAGATAATTATTATTTTCAGTAAATGTCTACAAGTTCAATTATATTATCGATGAAAAACATTAGGCCTGTATATTTTGGCCCTGCATAAAGATCTTGAAATTCAAAAATTATATTAGTAAATTTCACACATTTCTAGCTTTGGAGATTTGTTTTCTTTCTTTTTTTGTGGGGTTGGGGGTGGGTTTTTTTTTCTCCCACTCAAACCAGGCTAGGGATTCAAGGTCAGTTACACACTCTGCCTCCTTTATCTTTCATGGCCTTTATATCATCTGGGTATCAATTTTCTGCTTAGTGCAGTGCATTTTTATAAGGTAGTGATTGTATATAATAGTGGTTTGAAAATATGTTCCCAAAAAGAAGTGTTAAAATATTTTCAAGGACAGAGAAGAATTGTATGCTTTACATGGTAAGACAATTTTGTTAATATACTTACCATTAAGCCATAAATACTTTTGCCAAAACCTTTTAATTGTATCAGTTCATTAATTCTGGCAGCTAAAATAATAACAATCATTGCACATGGAAAATTAGGTAAAAATCTAAAAGTATTATATTTTGTACTAATATGAATAGAAGAATCCATCTTGGTTTCAGTTACAATTTTTAAAAACCAAATTTCTCAATAAATGAAAAAATAGCAATGCAACCTAACAGAGGATGATAGAAAAGCAAAACAATGAAAGATGGCAAAGTGGCCATGAGCACATTGCATAATGATGTAAAACTCAGTCTTTTGGTAAATTACTTTCATCTTGTTTCCCCACTATCCTTGAAAATATTTCCCAATGACAAAGGAGTTAAAAATGGCAAAATGAGGGCATAGAATGAGCTGAGAAACTCATGTGAGAATTTAATTACATTTTCAGTTTATTTCTTGACAATTCCCTGAAAGGCTAATTGGATCTTCAAGCCATTAGCAAAGATGAGTTTGACTCATAGACTCAGAATTTTATCAAAAAATCGGGAGATGTTATTTAATAGTGAGTCAGCAAGGCATTTTTTTGTTTAAAAAAACTGATTTTTTTACAGAAACAGTTTTTAGTTTTTAATAATCTTATAAACAAAAAAGCTCCCACTTCAAAATAAAAACAAGATCCCTAATCATATAGATGTTTACAGTGATATTTATCTAAGCAACATACATATATGTTCAGTTGTAAGATGTTAACTAAATTTCTGTGACAAGCTTTTTTAAAAAAATACTAAGAACATTATAAAGTTAATGAAGAGTCCTAAGTATAATCTAGTAGTCACTAAGTTTTTCTTAAGTCTTCACTTTAGATGCTATTATTTCTAGCACAATTAAGCAGGCAGAGTCTTTCATGCGCTCAAACACTGGAATCTTTGGTTGCTACCCTATCAGCTGGTTTGCAAACAAAAAGCCAACAATTTTAACAATGTTTTACGTGAATAACCTGCAAACCCGAGAGATGGAAAAGCCCTAAGAATGCACAATTGTGAGCATTTACAACTATCACAAGTGGCTGAAGACTGTTCATGACGTTCTTCTGAGATGAGATCTCAAAGAAGTATAGTTCAAAACAAAAGGTTCTAACAAAAAAAAAAATTGGCATATGCATAATTTCTCCACCAATTTGTGTGTGTCAACCATTTAGTTAACTTTTTCACTTGAAAAAAATGCACTAGAAAACCAGTCACCGTGTTTCACTATCTGTTAATATTCACAATTACAGTGGCTACGACTCAGGATACAGCATCACCAATGCTGCCCAGAGACAGTTTATAGTAAAAAGTTAAGTTCTTTATACCAAGTAAATGGTTGTCCACGATCACTGGCTAGTGTACATATGAACTAAAATTTCTAGATTTGGGGAGAAACAAATGCTGCTCTGATCATCAGCTCTGCTTCTCTGTTCCTCAATTCATGCTTAGAAACCTTTCATGTTACTCTTGGTTTTGTCAGGTTGCTTACCTGTTGGGGTTTGGGCCTGCTGCCCCTGCCCAGTAGAAGAGGCTGCCTGCTGGGCTGCTTTCTGCTTTAACATTGTCCAGTCAAATGTGTAGTCATATTGATGGCTCAGGGTCCTGAAAAGAATGAAGAGTAGCTGCCTCAGATACATGCAATCTGGGGCTTTCTCAAAGTGTAGCCCACGACAATAGTTTAAGTATATGGCAAATTCTGCAGGAAACCCCTTGCGTAAAACTTCAGCAGGAGTGGACATCTTTTCACTAATCTTTTCATATTTTTGTTTCTTTGTTGCAGCCTTTAGCCCTCGCCATGGCAGGCTGGTTCTATTAAAATACATCAAAACATATCCTAATGATTCCTTGTCATCCTGGTGACTCTGCTCAATACCAAGATGTGCACTGATGGTAGCATATAGGGCAATGCCAGTGAGGTTTTTATCTTCTCTGTATGGCCTGTGTTGCCTTGTCCTGTTGTCTCTGTACTTTTTGGCCAAACCAAAATCAATAAGGAATAACTTACTACAGTGACGCCCAATATCCATTAGGAAGTTATCTGGTTTAATGGCTCCGTGTATAAAATTCTTTTTATGCACATGTTCAATTCTACTGATCATCTGGTCAGCTAATATAAGTACAGTTTTCATTGTGAACCTTCTTGAACAGAAATTGGCCTTCGAGGCTAGGTCCCAGAAAATCCATGACTAGTACATTATAGTCTTTTTCCTGACCATACCACTGTTATGTGGCGGATGCCAACCCCACCTTGAAGAATCTTATAGAGCCTGCTCTCGTACAGCAACTGGGGATGCCTGGCATTGTGAGATTCTAGCTTCACTGCCACTTCTTCACCGTTAGTGATGCTGGTCGCCAGATAGATGTCTCCGAAGGAGCCAGAACAGATATCCCATACCAGTTTGCATTTCCTTCCGACAATGAATCCTGCCTTAGAGCCGCTGCTGCTAGCCGTCCTGAGAGACAAAGATGGAGGCTGGGCCAAGCCTACCGTGGAAGGCGGCAGGAAGCGGAACAAGGAGGCCTTTCCTGGCGACCAGGGCCCAGATGCCGGCGAAGGGAACCTGATGCCTGCTGCTCAGTCACATTTTTTTTTGTTTGTTTTTCGGCTGGTGGTTTGCCAGGCCGCAGTTTGTGAAGGGCTTCTAGCGGTTCAGACAGGGCTGGGCCACCTATTTCTGGGCAGCCGCTGCTGCCTCGCTTTCGCGGCGACGTCGGGGCTGGAAAAGGGGCGCGGTGAGCTGGGGCGCGGTACCGCTGCCACCACTGCCGCCGGCTCCGGTCCTGTCACTCCGCCGACGACGCCATCTGGTTACTCCAGCTCTAACCAACACAAAATGCCCCCAAAACCCGGAAGTCGCTTCTTCACGGCGCAGAGCACTCTGGGAAAGGGATATCCGGTGCCCGCTCCAAAGGATCCGCCTCATCGACTCAGAATTTGAATGATTGAAAGGCACCAGAGGCTTCAGTTTACAGATGGGAACATTGAAATCTGGAGGGGGTAGGTGACTTGTCCAAGGCCACATAGCTATCTAATAGAACGCAGGACCAGAATCTGCACCACCTAACTTCCTGTCCACTGTCCTTTCCTTCATAGGGTTAATATTTTATTCCAAGGAATTTCTAATCCCGTAAGTTATATTGACTATTTACAAAGTAAAAGGTCCTGGTATATTTTTAATGTACATTCTGAACCTTACTGTTTTGGTCCTGCCCAGATCTCTATGGTGGAAATCAGCTGGGCATTTTGACAGAAATAGTTTTCATTTTATTAGTACTTTACTATCCTAAAATCCTTAACGTTTGATGACAGTCATTTTCTATACATTGCCATGAGCCTAAGGATGTGCCACTAAGAATGAATTTGGAAGGACTGAAGACAATTTTTTCCTTTGGTCAATTTATATATTGACTTTTCTTCCACTGGAAAAAAAAAAAACCCACAGATATTATGTTTACCATCTTCTCTTCCTGTAAGGATAAGGTAATATTTAAACCAACAGTAATTCATGAACATCTACTGATCATCACCGAGAATGACCAGTATATAGTATTCTAGAACTGTAGGCAGTAGAGCCTACTGGCTAAGACACAAGCTTTGACAATAGTCTGGAATCCCCACCTCTGCGCTTAGATATAATCAAACTCTCTAGAAGTTTCAGTTTCTTCATTTGTAAAATTGAAATTATGCCTATCACAGAGGACTATTGTGAGGGTTAAATAAGATTAGTGCCTAATACATCATAAAGCATAGCTCTAATAAAACTAGTATCATATATTATAGTCGCATTGTGTGTTATATAATTATAATTATATTACTACACCCATTGAAGATTCTACTTGAATGATACACAGCATTAAAAATTTGTGTTTTCTGTGTTAATATAAAAATCACTATAAGGTGTGTAGCTTGGCTTATTATTGCTTTTCTAAAGCTGATTTAGGAAAAGCCATTTTCCAAAACTTAAGAGACAGGCAGAACAAGATCCTTCTTTGAGAGTGGGCATATGTTTAGTTGATTGTTTTCGCAGACTGATGTCTGGTTTAACATTCCTCTGCTTGGAGGAGAAGCTCAGAGACAGTGAGCCCATGTTTCTTTTGATAGTGAGCGAAGCCTTTGCCATAAATACAGCTTCAGCAGCAGCACAGCACAGGATCAGCCAGGACTTTCACATCTGACTGACGGCTCAAATCCACCATGCACAAGATGAGCCCCCTAAAGGTGCACAGGTTTGTCATAATATAAAAGCTTTCTTTAAGAGGATTGAAGAAATACCTTCAGGCCATTGTTAATTCTTAGTTGTGAAATACCTTCTTCAGCCCATTCCTTTCAGTGAAAGAAAGCATAAAATGCTATTTGAATTTGATCTTTGAAAAAACAAAAAGGCAAAGCAAAAGGAATTTGGGGAAATCACTAGTTTGTTCCTGGATTCTTCCTCTGATTGATGACTGTGACACTTTTTGGGGTGACTTTTTAAAAGACATGATTTTCGAAAGTGCCCCACTCCTAAACATAATCCTCCTTAGGTCACAGGCAAGCTGTATAATTTCTAAACAATTGAACCAAGTGCTGATGCTCCTCTCCCAAAACAGGCCAGTAATGTTGGAGGCAGATGCCGAATCAGCTCTCCTAGGCAGCTGAAAACACTGTTACAAAAGTGCCAGGTATCGAAAATTGTGGCTTGTCTCACCTGGGGGCTTCAGAACATTCTGCAAACAATGAACTGAGCTTCCCATCTAAGTTCCAGTTAACTAAGCTGCCAGTTAGATAAGTGGTCTTTTGTTGCTTACAGAGGACTTAACTAATGTTGTTTTGCTTCTTGTAGAAGTTGCTTATTTATTTACTTTACAACATTAAAAAAAAAAAAACTTGAAAGAATACTTACACTGAAGAGAATGATTTCTCCCTCCCTCAGATATGCTATCTGAAAAATTTAAAAAAAAAATTTTAAATAAACATTAAAATGTGTTTTCACCAATCACAAATATTAAATTGTAGTACAAACTGCAACTGGACACCCTGGCTCACGCCTATAATCCCAGCACTTTGGGAGGCTGAGGTGGGCAGATCACTTGAGTTCAGGAGTTCGAGACCAGCCTGACCAACGTGGTGAAACGGCATCTCTACTAAAAATAAAAAAATTAGCTGGGTGTAGTGGTATGCGCCTGTAGTCCCAGCTACTTGGGAGGCTGAGGCATGAGAATCACTTGAAGCCGGGAGGCAGAGGTTGCAGCAAGCCGAGATCGCGTCACTGCACTCCAGCCTGGGCAACAGAGCAAGACTCTATCTCAAAAACATAAAATTAATTTTTTTTTTTGGTAAGTAAATTGCCCGAACCAACCTATATTCAGCACTCAGAGACTGTCTTTTCATAGTTTGTTAGTAATATCTCATGGGACACGAAAAGACAGGGATACAAAGTTGAGGCATATTGGTAGGCTTTTCAGATGCACTCTCCAAACTTCCAACCTCAATGGGTGGATGAGAACATCTGAAAGAAAACTGGTGGTGTGCGCTGTAACATTGTCCTTAATGCGGTGCCCTCAATAGCTCCTTCTATTGCAAATGTGTTGCATCAATTATGAAAGGGGGAATTAGAGAGGAAAAAAAATTACCTTTTTTAACTCACAAATAATAAAAGTTAAGCAGAACAAAAGTTACAGTCCTCAAGAATAACTTTGCAATGGAGCCATTTAGCATGGTAGACTTTGTGGTATAAAGATAATCCAGACTCTTTTGTTAACTGAATTTGAAAATTTCAAATTAATTTGCATCAGATTCAACCTGGCACCCTATCTTGTTGAAAACATTAAGCTTGACACAACTGTCCTGAAATGGCTTGATCTGATTATTACCTGAAATCGATCTGGGTTTACAATGCAGTGAAGTCGAATTACAGAGTTGCCAAAATAATCAGTTCATTCATTCTTGGAGATGTGATGAGGAGATGTGATGAGGAAGGACTTCTTGACTGCTGTGGGAACCATAACCCCCCATGTGCTGAAATTGGAGGCTCACAGAGACAGCCTGATTGGCCCTCGTCTTCTAGAGTTGGAAGTCAATATTGCCACTTTCCGAGGGCTCAGGTCAGTTCCAGAGCAGCTAATAGGCCCTCATGATGAAAACCCAGTTAGGGAGTTATCTATTCCCGGATGCCTATGAGAAAGGATGTGTGTCTACACAATATTTCATCTACAATTTATTGTCTACACAAACCATTTACACACATACATATGCACACATACTCCTTTATCCTGTCTAGCAGAATGCATTTTAATCAGGAGTTTGGAGGAAGATGCTCAGCATCTTCACAGCACAGGTGAACTGGGTCAATGATGAGCATGTGATCCTGTTGTGACTGTGACACCTCTTGTGAAGTTTCATAGAAAGCTTTTCTTCCCTTTACTGTCATCCCCTTCCTTTTGATGTAAGGATGGGATGGTTATAGCTGCAGTGGCCGTCAAGACACTGAGGAAAAGGATAAGAAACCACTAGAGCCACTGAGCCCATGTCAGCATTGCCAACCCTCAGTCTCCTTGCTATGTGAGAAAAAGAAACTCTTCTTGTTTCAATTATTATTTATTAGGTATTCTGTTACTCGCACCCAAAAGCATTTCCTACTGACAAGGGAATCTCGTGGCTTTCTAGAATAGAGCCCTTGGTATAATTTCTTACACTGAATGATGGAAGAGATCCAGTTGAAATGTCTAACAAAGTCACTGATTGCTCAGACATATCCAGAAACACTGATTTCTATGAAATCTGAAACTCTTAAGAGTGCTGTGATGGAAGTTAACTTCTCTTGGAGAGAAGAGGGACCCAAGTAATTTATTATAGAGCATCCCCATCAAATTCAGTCTGTAGTAGGATTCTGTGAAAATCTGTCAAGTGCCTGTGTCAGAACTGAAGTCTTCAAAGGCATCATTATTAGTATTGAGGTCAGAATTTTAAAATGAGTTATAGAGAGTAAAAGGCACCCATAGAGAACTGTGGACAGAAACCCTTGGCCACATATACAATAATTTTGGGATAACCCTTTCCTTTTCCCTCCCTACTCCCCACCTCCATAAAAGAACACCATGTTCACTGAATCATTCAGTTGAATATGTTAGCCAGCTTTCTATTTTGCCAGCACATCTAAAATGTTGCAATGGCAAGTTAAGTACTTAATACACATCTCATTCAAATGGGTGTGATTAGCTATCAAAGAAGAGGTAAAGCCTAGTCATGGAGTCGAGGAGCACTGGCACCAGATACCTGGACTTCAATCACAGATCCAGCTCTCACATGCTGTCTGGGTGACGCTAGTTGCTTTGTGTCCTTGTGCCCCAATTGTCTCATATGTAACAATGGAGATAAGTACCTCTTGTGTGTGAATTATAAAGATTAATGCATTTAATATAGGTAGAGTATTCATAACAGAACCTGACACCTTATAAACACTTGATAAGTGTTAGCTATTGCTATTACCCCTTTTCCAGGTGGGGTCATTGAAGCTCAGAGAGGTTAGGTAGCTTGTCCAAGATTTCCTAGCCAGTAAATAGTAAAACTATCTCAAAATGTTCCTCTAATTTACATAATGTTATTATAATTTATCTTTTACACTATTTTAGAAAATGTGGTAAACATTGTTAGTGCTCACCGATATTCAGTTCTCCTCAACTTCCAGAATGTACAAGAGACTACACACTTTCCAGCCCCCTTGGGGCCACATTACAAATTCTGGCTCATGAAATGTGAGTGGATGAGACCTGTATGTGTCTGGGAGACAATGAGAAACACTGCAGGATTCTTCATTCTTTCTCTTCCCTTGCTGTAACACTCAACCAAAGTTCTAGAAGTGGAAATCTCCATCATCCTGGAGCACAGAGAAACTAAATAGAGCAACCTACATACCACCACCACCATGCTACAGGAGTCCTTTTAAAAACAGCAATAAATAAACCTTTATGTGTTAAGCATTGAGATGTGGGAATTATTACCATAGCATCAGCCTGGCCTATCTCAACTAATAAAGTTTCCGAATATTATATAACAGAAAAACCAAAGTATTGACTTAATATTCTATTTAATTAATATGACATTATCCCATTGGCTCATTGATAACTCTTGTTTTTTAGGGGATGGGAGTTGGGGTGAGGTTCATCTGGCATTATAGCAATGTTATAATGAGCCATAAGGAAAACTTAATGAACATTATTCTATAGCTTAATTTTCTATGATAAGTAGTAATCATGCTGCAAACCTTCAGGACGGAAATTAATATTATGAATATCAACAGCTCATGATTGTATTTTAGAAAGCCTTAATGTTATTGTTGCTTAACATTTTTTTCAGGATATTAGAGAAAAATTTATTTTAAAATTATCATGGCCTTTTGAGTTTTAGAAAGGCATTTTAGCTTAAGCTGCACATAAGCAATCTTCAAGAAATCATAATGTAAAATGTTTTTATTTCCCCTAACCTAGAATATACAAATTTGAATCTTAAAAATAAAAACTTGGGCCGGGCGTGGTGGCTCACGCCTGTAATCCCAGCACTTTGGGAGGCTGAGACGGGCAGATCACGAGGTCAGGAGATCAAGACCATCCTGGCTAACACGGTGAAACCCCGTCTCTACTAAAATTACAAAAAAATTAGCCAGGCATGGTGGAAGGTGCCTGTAGTCCCAGCTACTTGGGAGGCTGAGGTGGGAGAATCCCGTGAACCCAGGAGGCAGAGCTTGCAGTGAGCTGAGATTGCACCACTGCACTCCAGCCTGGGCAACAGAGCAAGACTCCATCTCAAAAAAAAAAAAAAAAGAAAGAAACTTATATCTAGAATACTTTAAAACTCTGAATACTCAGTAATAAGAAAACAAATAACCCAGTAAAAAAAATAATGGGCAAAAGCTCTGATTAGTCATTTCACCAATGAAGAGATGTGTTGTGTAAGTATCTAAAAAGATACTCAGCATCATTAGTCATTAGTGAAATACACATGAAAATCAGTGTGATACCAGTACATACCTCTTAGAATAGCTTATATTAAACATTGACATTACCAAATGTTGAGGGAAGATGTGGAGCAACTGGAACTCTCATACATAGCTGGTAGGAATGCGAGATGGTATAGCTACTTGGTTAAACAACTTGGCATTTTCTTATAAAATTAAATACACAGTTACCTTATAACTCAGCAATTCCCCTAGACATTTACCCAAGATAAAGACAAATATACTCACAAAAACCTCTTCACGAGTATTTATAGCAGTGTTATTCACAAATGCCAAAAACTGGAAACAAACCAAATGTCCACCACCTTACGAATGAATACACAAACTGTGGTACATACCTATGACTGGACACAACTCAGTTATGAAAAAGAACCAACTACAGATGCATACCCCAACATGGATAAACCTCAAAAGACTTACGCTGAGTAAAAGAAGCCAGATTCAAAAGGCTATATACTATATGACTCCATTTATACAATATTCTGGAAAAGGAAAAACTGTGGGAACAGAAATCAAAGTAATAATTGCCAGGGTTTGGAGATGTGGTGGAGGGGAAGAAATTGACTACAAAGAAGTATCTGAGAACTTTTTAAGCTGTTGTAAATTTTCTCCCTCTTAATTCTGGTGGTTGCATACTTTATAAAAGTGTTAAAATCATAGAACACTGTGCACCAAAAATGAGTGAATTCATTGTAAATTATACCTCAGTAAAACACCAAAAAATCAAACAGATGTAAAATTTTTAAAATAGATGATTAATAGTTTCAAATGAATTCTTCACATTTTAGTAATGTTCTGACAGTTATAAGTTAAGCTTTTTTAACGCAATTCATTATATATAACCTGTTAACTATATTAATTTATTCATACTAACTCTACTTGAAATATGTATATTCAATACATTAAACAATAAAGGCAAAATGGTCTAAGGGCCAAAATGTAAAAGAGTAAACTGTATTCAAGACAAGCAGAAGAAGCAAAATATATATCTTGCTTTAAAGTTTCATTAAAAAAAGTTATTCAATACAGTTCAACAAATATTTATTCAGCATATATTGTCTCGATCTGTAAAATAGGCAGCTTTGCAAATTTTAATGGCCCTAAAGAACCGTTCAGAATTCCAAATCTACATTACTTTAAAGTAAGTTGGAAAATACCTTGATGATATTACAGAATCCACTTTCTTAGAATAATACCTGGCCCATAATATGCAAATATGTGCATTAGTTATCTTATTATTTAAATTTCTTCCACTCACCATTATTATGCAAGTTTAATAATATCTGTTGAAGTTGCTTTTGTTAATGCTTACCCAGCAGCCACTCATCACCACTGCCACACTTTCTTTCTACCCAAAGGTCACTTTTGTTTAGGTATTCTCTGTCCCTTAGATAGCCATGTGCTTTCTCAAAGGAAAAGAATACCAATCCCAGCCCCAAGGGACATGTCACAATTACTATAAGCCAGACATGGCGCCCTCATTTCCTTACCATTAATTGATGTAGCATGGGTATATGATGCAAATTGGATGAAAGCAAATAGAAAATCTTCCAGAGGGCTTCTGGGAAAGGTATTCTTTGCTGATCAAGAACCACAAAGGGAGAAACAACCTCTTTTCTACTGATTGTGGTAGCCTCTGGATTAAATGTGTGAACTGCTACAGCAATCTGGCAACCAGGAGCAGTGCTAGACTGCAGAAGAGCCAACTCACTGAAAAGAACAAGGCAGAAAAATGAAAGAAGCCTGGCGTGGTGCCTCCTGCCTGTAATCCCAGCACTTTGGGAGGCTGAGGCAGGAGTGTTGGTTGAGCTCAGGGGTTCAAGACCAGCCGGGGCAACAGGAGGAAACCCTGTCTCTACAAAAAATAAAAATAAAAAATAATAAGAATACAAAAATTAACTGAGCATGGTGGCATGCGCCTGTGGCCCCAGCTACCGAGGAGGCTGAAGTGGGAGAATCAACAGCCCCGGAGGCGGAGGTTGCAGTGAGCCAACATAGCACCACTGCACTCCAACCTGGGTGACCGCGCCAGACCCTGTCTAAAAATGTTAACTAATTAAATAAATTTAATTAAAATGGAAGAAGCCCAAGACTCTCCTGATGTCCCTGAGTTGCTGCATCAATCCCAGAACTCTCCTACCTCCACATCTCCCGTCATCTGAGATAATACATTTTCTTTACTCCTTAAGCCAGTTGGGTCAGGTCTTTCTGTTATTTGGAGCCAAAAGCATCATAACTGATACATCTTACCACAAATACATTGTTTTCCATGGGCTGGTAGGGGAGTGGGAAGCTACGATCACAGAAAAGGAATCAGGGGATGCCACATTTATTTTTCAGTCCTTGAACCTATAGAATAATATTTATTTTAGTTGTTAAAAATAAGGATAAGATACCAATCTAAAATGTTGATAATAGGAGGAACTGGATGCAGGGTATACGGGAACTCTGTGTTCACAGCTTTTCTGTAAATCTAAAACTGTTAAAAATAAAAAGGTTATTTGCAAAACGGGATAAAACAAACACAGTAAATAAACAAAAAACAGTTTTTAAATGTGAAACTCATGTGTATAGTAATATTTTACGTGTGAACAGCTTTTATGGCAAAATTTCTTTATTTATAGAGTCATTTTCATGCATATCCCTGCAGAGTTAAAGCACTTCCTAAAAACGTGAGGGAGAACAGGAATTACTGCGTCCATTCAATAGATAAGAAAACAATCATACCGGAGAGATAAAGTGACCTGCAGGAGGCCACACAGTAATTAGTGACAAAGCCGAGAATAGACCTGGCCTCTCATACAGACAACTTTGCTTTTTCCTCTCTCTCCTCTTAAAATAGGAAGACTCTTTTACAAAGCCCATGGAAACAGAAAATTTTCAATTTGGTGGAAACTATTCAGACTGTCTGATCACAGAGTGATAATTCAGATGCTTTGAGGTAAAGAATATATTTTTTATCTCTTAATTTTGAAAAGAACGTAACTGGAAAATCAATTCATTGAGCAAAAGCCTCATTATCCCAAGCACCCCCAAACACCTCAACTTTCACCAAACCTTAGCAACTTACATTATATGCATAGTATGCTTAAATTCAATGAAAAGATGACTTCATACAATTCTATTTATTAAATAAAACTAATCATATTCATTAGAATAAATGTATAAACAATGGGCAAAATTATCATATATGTCTCTTTCAACTACTTTGCTAAATATAAAACATTCTTATTCTGAAAGCCTTAGTTGTTTAAATTTCTTCACATAAATTACATGATGTTATGAAGTATGAGTTGAATATTGTCCAGTGAGGTCATATATGAATTCCTGATGGGCTGTATAAAAACTTTGCCTAGTGTCATACTGGAACACAAAGACTCCTTTGATTATTAAAAAAAAAAAAAAAAAAGAAAGAAAGGAAAAGGAAAAAAAGGCAGAAGATGATATCCACCAGAAGGGTCTGAAGGAAAATTAAGGGTAGAACATTAATAACTTCACTCAACAAAAAACTAGTAGGCCATACCAGAGACCATCAAGTGTTCTCCCTGCATTTTAAGGAGAGGCAGACAACTGTCATTCTGTTGTGATAGGCAGCTGAACGAGATCTATACCTCCACAAAGTATATTGACAGAAGATTGATCAATGACAGTGAAGAGAGCTTTGCTCTTGACATACGTCTTGGTCTGTGATTAGGCCAGTGGACTCAAGAGTGGGGAGCATTTATCCCAGAGTATATGTAGAAAAAGTATATTGGAACCTGTATTTGCTTTTTAATCTTAAAAAATAAAAACTTAATTTTATTAATATTTAATATATTTTACTAATTTTACCAATATTTTCCAATATTTGTAAGTAAACACTAACGATTTATAAATAATTTGTAAATAAATGCACAGAGTTTAAGGGTGTGTGCACAATTTTTTCCCCTGACAGCAGTATGTGATCAATAACAGCAAGGATCTATAGGTACCATCTATGAGTGTCCACACTCATTTAATACAAATTACACCCTGATTTTGACATGGCCATCCAAATATATTGATCTGCTATGTCTTAAGTACTTCCAAGGGACATACTCACTTTTCACATG